CAAACATTTAGAAATTACCCGACTTTCATCGTTTTTCTTGTGTATTAGCCCATGGATTTGGCGTCTTTAATGCATCCGAATATTTTTCTAATAAAACTATATGAGTACCTCTGTAATGAGTTGGGAAATCATTACGTATAGTCTCACTATTTTTTTCCATGCATGTTTTTACATTTACTAGCTAATTTTTAAGAATTACTCGATTTGCATTATTTTTTGTGTATATTAGCTCATGGATCAGGCGCCATTAGGGTACCCGATTATAAAAAAAAAGGTATATGAGGACCTCTGTAATGAGTTGACGAAGTATTATGTATAGTCCCGCAATTTTTCACGCATATTTTCACAATTATGAGCCAACTTTTTTTAATTACCCTACTTTCGCCTTTTTCATGTGTATTAACCCATGGACCTGACGCCTTTGGGGTACATGAAAATATTTTCTGAAAAAACTAAATGAAGTCCTCCGTAATGAGTTGGGGAAACATTACGTATAATCTTGCTATTTTTTTCCGAATATTTTTGCATTAACAAGCCAACTTGTAGAAATTACCCAACTTTCTTTATTTTTCGTGTGTATTAGCCCATGAATCTGGCGCTTTTGGGGCACCCAAACCTTTTTCTGAAAAAACTATATAAGGACCTCCGTAATAATTTGGAGGAACATCACGTATAGTCCTGCCATTTTTTTCACGCATATTTTAATATTTACGAGCCAACTTTTTAAAATTACACGACTTTCTTAGTTTTTCGTGTGTATTAGCTCGTGAATCTGGCACCTTTGGAGCACCAAAAAAAAATTCTGGAAAAACTATATGAGGACCTTCGTAATGAGTTGGGGAAACATTACGTATAGTCCCACCGTTTCTATCATGCATATTTTCGTATTTACGAGCCAATTTTTAAGAATTACCCGACTTTCTTGGTTTTTCGTGTGTAGTAGCTCATGGATCTGATGCCTTTGGGGCACTCGAAAATTCTTTTTGAAAAAACTACATGAGGACCTCTGTAATAAGTTGGGAAAACATTATGTATAGTCCCGCTGTTTTTCACGCATATTTTTGCATTTATAGGCCAACTTTTGGAAATTACACGACTTTCACCATTTTTCGTGTGTTATTAGCCCATGGATCTGACGTCTTTGAGCCTCCCAAATTTTTTTAATGAAAAACTATATGAGGACCTCCGTAATGAGTTAGGAAAACATTACCTATAGTTCCGCCATTTTTTTCACGCATATTTTCGCATTTACGAGCCAACTTTTAGGAATTACTCGAATTTCGATGTTTTTCATGTGTTAGCCCATGGATCTGGCACATCTTGGACACTCGAATTTTTTATTTTTTGAAAAAAATATTTAAGGTCCTCCGTAATGAATTAGGAAGCATTACGTATAGTCCTGCTATTTTCCATGCATATATTCACATTTACGACCTAACTTTTAGGAATTACTCGAGTTTAGCTATTTTTCATGTGTATTAGCCCATGGATCTGAGTTGGGGAAACATTACGTATAGTCCTGCCATTTTTCACGCATATTTTTACATTTGCGAACCAACTTTTAGGAATTATCCGTTTTTTGCTGTTTTTCGTGTGTTACCAATGGATCTGACACCTTTGGGGCACCCCAAATTTTTTTTTGAAAAAATATATGAGGACCTGCATAATAAGTTGTGAAAGCATTACGTATAGTCCCGCCATTTTTTCACGCATATTTTCGCATTTACGAGTAACTTTTAGAAATTATTCGACTTTTGCCATTTTTTTGTGTGTAGCCCATGGATCTGGCACCTTTGGGGCGCCTGGAGTTTTTTTTCTGAAAAAACTATATGAGGACCTCTGTAATGATTTTGGGAAGTATTGTGTATAGTCCCGCCGTTTTTCATGCATATTTTTGCATATACGAGCCAACTTTTAAGAATTACTCGATTTTTACCAATTTTCGTGTGTATTAGCCAATGGATTTGGCATCATTGGGGCATCCAAAAAATATTTCTAAAAAAAATATATGAGAACCTCCGTAATGAGTTAGGGAAGCATTACATATAGTCTCACCATTTTTTCAAGCATATTTTCGCATTTGCGAGTCAACTTTTAGAAATTACCCGAGTAATTTCCCTAGATACACCCATGTTTAGGAAATTACCTTGGAATATCACTTATGTTTGTTTTTGGACCACAATATCACCCAACTTTACCTCTTTTCCTTAAAATATACTTACACAAAAAAACATTATCTCTCTCCTAATAGAATGTCATGTCACATTATTCCTTTTTCATTATTAACATTTTTAAAAAAAAATTTAGACAACCCATATTACCTAGTAAAAAAAATTACATAGCCCAAAAATTTCTACCCTAGTTCTGGGGATTAGGCGGCAAATCCAAATATGAGCTCCTCCGATTCTTCAAGAAAATATGTGGCTTCCTTCGATTTTCAAGCGAGATAATGTTTTTATATGGACACTAATGGGCAATGACACCTTTTTGTTGAGTCCGGAGCCAAAAGTGTAAACTTTTTTTCTTTAAAAAACAAAAAAGGCACATAAAAAAAAATTAACCAAAAGGGCAAAATCGCTCCTGATGGAGCGATTTTGTTCTGACAAAATTTGACGCTGTTCCGCTAAAAGAAATAAAAATTGCTGTCAATTTTCTCAAAAAAATATTTTTTCTTTAAAAAAAATCCTACCCTTGCAGAGAATTTAATAAAAATTAAAAAAATAAATAAAACTGAAGCCAGCGATTTTCATAAAAA